CCCTGCCCCGCCTCTCCGCGTTGGAGCAGATCCGGGGACAGGGGGCTCGGGGGAGGGCCGGGGGCCTGGAGAACAAAGGCTGGGCTGCGAGAACGCCTCTGCCCTCGCCCCCACCCAGCTGGGCTCATCCGGGACTCCTAGTGGGGTGCGGGCGGGGCAGGGAGCCCAGCTGGGGACATGCGATTGGACCATATGTGATGCGGGGAGCTCTCCTGCACCGGCCAGGTGCCTCGAATCCAGTGAAGGCGGACAGAGCCGAGCCCTCCAGGGCCAGGCTCGAGGGAGGGTGGCCAGGTGGTCAGGAAGAGACGGGACCGACTAACTGACAGGTGGGCTGGGGGTGGGGCATGGCCCAGCCCGCCGGCCCTGCCCAGCGTGGGGAAAGGTTTCCTGCCACTTCTCTTCCCCTCCTCAAACTCGTTCTCCCGGAACACGGGGTGGGGCCGCTTGGGTCCTCCTTTAAAATGGCAAAAAGCCCCAAAGGCGGTTGAGAAATAACTTTGCCAGGGCTTCCTCTGCCCGTGTGCCCTCCATTCATCCGGCTGCAACCTCCCTGTGCAGTTCAGGCAGCAGCTTTAGACAGCTAGGGAAACTGAGGCCTGTGGAGGGGATGAGGGTTGAGGGAGCGCCCCGGATCCGGCTGCAGCAGCGTGTTGGAGTGTGGGCGGCTGCGAGCAGCCCAGCCCAGTAGGATACCTTGTCTGGTGGGGGAGGACGGGGGTCGGCGGCGGCTGTGGTCCTGATGGTGGGGTTGTGTCATTAGGTGGCTAGAATGGGTTCCTTGGATTTGAGGACTCTCACTCCTGCCTCAGTGGCTTGGGGCTTGGGCTGGCGTGAGTCAGCCCTGGCCAGAGGGACACAGGCCCAGCCCCTTTGGCAAATAGAAAATGGAAATGCCCATTTGGGGGTAGATCCGGGCTTTAAACTTGGGCCACATCCATAGAAACCGCCCCTCCGCACCCTGGGGCTCAGGGAAGGGGTTAAACTCAGCTTGGGCTGGGGCAGCGCAGGCACCCCAGTGGCAGACACCTGCCAAAGTCAACACACAGCACCTGAGGGGGGGGGCTCTATCCAGCTGGCAGGTCCCCCCAGCTCACACCTGGGCCACACCAACTGCTCACTTCGGGGCAAAGTCCACACCTGCGACTTCTGCAGTCTGGTTCCTCTGCAGCCAAGCAGGCACCCTGCATTTGAACCACCCTCTGCCAGCTCCCTGGGCCTCAAAACCAAAAGGGGCATCCCTGCCCCGCCGTCCTGATAAAGACTCAATTTTGCCAGAGGGTGTGAAGATGAAACAGCAGTCACATTAATTGAGCACCAACTCCATGCCAGGCACTGTCTTGTAACCATTACGTGTGTTAATAACCTCCCCCTGGAAGGAATGTGACCTCCTCAAGGGTGGGCTCTGCCCTGTCTTACTCACAGCTGTGTCTCTTCGGAGAAGAGGGCCTGGCAGAGTAGGCACTCAGTAAGTGTTTGTTGAATGAATAAAGAAACTCATTTTAGCCTTACAACTAAACACCCTTTCAGGAAGGGACTATGACAAACATCCTATTTTCCAGAACAGGACATTGAGGTCCAGAAAGAGCAAGTGGTGGCATCCAGGGTCACCTGGCTTCCAAGTGGCAGAACGGTGATTCGAACCCGGGCCTGATGGGTATATGCACTGGAGCTGTCACTGGTGTTTTCATCCCAGCAGGGCTCCAGCCTTCCCCATCTGAGGATTTCAGGCCTCCCCTCCGAAGGAGATTCCTTCCAAGATGGCATCAGCCGGAGACCCCCACGCGGGCCCCCGGGACGCGGCAGACCAGAACTTCGACTACATGTTCAAACTGCTCCTGATCGGCAACAGCAGCGTGGGCAAGACGTCCTTCCTGTTCCGCTACGCCGACGACTCCTTCACCCCCGCCTTCGTCAGCACCGTGGGCATCGACTTCAAGGTCAAGACCGTCTATCGCCACGACAAGAGGATCAAGCTGCAGATCTGGGTGGGTGAGCCAGGCCGCCGTCTGTGGCGAGGGGCGCGAGTCTCCCCAGGGAAGTTCTCTGGAGGGTTCAGGCTGTGGGGGGGGGGTTCCTGGATGGGGGGGCACAGCCCAGAGTTGGGGAGGGGGTTGGAGGACTAAAGAGTAGGGGGGTGTATTAGCTACAAGGTAAATTCATCAGGAGGAAGGGACGTGCCCTGCATTGGGGTGGCTGTAGGGGAGTCAGTACTGTTCCTTGGAGTCTGAGTCGGGAGACGGACCCAAGGTACTGAGTACTAACTCAAGGCATAGGGAGCCGGGTGCCCTAGCTCACACCTGTAATCTCAGCACTCTGGGAGGCTGAGGTGGGAGGATCACTTGAGGTCAGGAGTTCGAGACCAGGCTGAGCAACAGTGAGACCCCGTCTCTACTAAAAATAGAACAATTAGCCGGGCATGGTGGCGCATGCCTGTAGTCCCAGCTACTCGGGAGGCTGAGGCAGGAGGATCGCTTGAGCCCAGGAGTTGGAGGTTGCTGTG